AGTTCTAAGACACTAGTGCACTTGCTTTGATTTTCTGCAGGGAGCCGGGACAAATGCCATTACAAGATGGCGCCCGCTTCCTTTCAGCCTAGAAGTAAACAACTCCATATTAGGCAAGTGCTTGGCGGGGCTGCGAGTCCCCAGCTGTGCGTATGCACCATCATTATAAATCCTGAGCCAATCCCGTGGCACCTGGTGACGGTAGAAGGCGGACAGCCAATCCTGAAGCGACCCGTGTTCCAAACCCTATATAAGCGGCTGCATTTCCTTGCTCGCTCTCTTGCGCTCAAGCTCTCCCTTCAACTAAAAGGCTCTCCAATAAAGTGTGATCTGAGAAGACTCCTGGTGTGGTGGTCGTTCTTCCTCGCTGGCCGAGAAGGCGTTCGCCGCAAGTGGTGCCGAAACCCGGGACCTGCGCAAGAGGTCGAACAGGAGCCAGAACTCAACACACGGAGAGGAGACCTCGGAAAGAGGTAAGTATCCCCAGGTATGCTGGATCCTTGGTTGCTGCTGGCTTTGCTACTTCCCCCGTGGTTTGCCGTGTCAGGAGGCCTCACACTCCCGTGCTGGGATAAGCTAGGTAGGGATCTAGAGAGAGCCCAACAGGAGGGACGTAAAGTTTTGATGCAGCATCAGGACAGTTTTTCAGAGTCAGCATCTGATAAAGGGGAAGAAAAGAGGCCAAAAAGAAAAAGGGGAAAAAGACAAAAGGATTTTAAAGAATTAAAGCAGGAGGGACTGCAGCCCTCACAAAAACAAAAGGAAGAGGGGACCAAGGAGCCCTCAAAGGAAGTGACGCAGAAAAATTCTTTATACCCTTCATTGGAGGAATTTTCTAATCGATTTTCCGCCCTGCACGTAGAGGGGGGAAATCTACAGGATGACTTTGAAAGTCATTCGGAGGGAGAGGAGTCAGAGGAAGAAGGGGGGCAGCTTGATCCAGGTGATGCTGAGGACTTGGAAAGGGCAGCAGCTGAATATGAGGCAGATAGGTATGGAGACTGGCGTGCTTTAACGGCCGGCATACAACCTCGGCAAAAGAAAGATGGTCAGGCTGGCCCTCGCCCGTCGGCCCCCCCTCCGTATCAGGGGGCAGGGCGGAGCCATTTCATAAAAGGAAGCACCTGGTCGCGGCTGGCGGCCGCGTTCCCCGTCTTTGAAAACCCTATTACTGAGGAGAGAACTTTCGAGCCAGTGTCTTATGCCCAGCTTAAGGACTTGGTGGAGGCAGTCCGGACTTATGGAGTAACGGCTAATTATACCATAGCCTTACTCCGAAAGCTGACTGTTAATGCTATGACGCCTACGGACTGGTTCGAGGTGGCCCGCACCTGCCTTAACCACGGGCAATTTCTTGATTTTCGATCTATTGTTCATGACAAGGCTCAAGCTCAATCATTCAATATGATAATTTTACCCGAGCTGCAAATTTGTCTAAACAATTGTCAAGTTATCTTTTAGGTAATTGGACTGGCGAGTTTGATGAGATGCTGGAGCAGCTGTGGATTGCCATTGTGATTGTTAATTCAACGCGAATGGATCCCGGATTTGTGGAGGGGCTCCAGTCCTGGATTTCCTCCACTGTTTCCTGGTTTAAGGAGTGGGTGGGAGTTGGAATATTTTTAGCTTGCTGCTTGGGCGGATGCGTGGTCTGCCTATGGTTGGTCTGTCGCCTTCGAGCCCAAACCAGTAGGGACAAAGTTGTTATTTCGCAAGCATTAGCCGCCTTGGAGAGTGGATCCTCACCCCAAATTTGGCTGTCGGCCCTGAGAGGTCATTAAGCCTTATCATTTCGCATAGCCCTAGCACCCCGAGGGATCTGGGGATCCCATTGCACCGGGACGGGTATGTGACTGATAATTTGGAACAGGGTGTAAGGCAAACGCACTGCACTTGGGCAAACGCACTGCACATGGGAATCACTTCCTGGCGTAAGCCCAAGAAGAGCACGTTGGGCTGCAAGTGGGTTGATGCCCAAGATCCCACCTCTGCAAAAAAGGCATCGGATGGGCCTGGTCGTCACTGGGGAAGGCGCCCCCCAGGCGAAGGCCAGTGCAAGGTCCTCTCTTTGAGACAGAGGCCCGACCTCTACTCTTACCTGTTACCAAAACAAAAAGGGGGAACTGCAGGGAGCCGGGACAAATGCCATTACAAGTTGGCGCCCGCTTCCTTTCAGCCTAGAAGTAAACAACTCCATATTAGGCAAGTGCTTGGCGGGGCTGCGAGTCCCCAGCTGTGCGTATGCACCATCATTATAAATCCTGAGCCAATCCCGTGGCACCTGGTGACGGTAGAAGGCGGACAGCCAATCCTGAAGCGACCCGTGTTCCAAACCCTATATAAGCGGCTGCATTTCCTTGCTCGCTCTCTTGCGCTCAAGCTCTCCCTTCAACTAAAAGGCTCTCCAATAAAGTGTGATCTGAGAAGACTCCTGGTGTGGTGGTCGTTCTTCCTCGCTGGCCGAGAAGGCGTTCGCCGCAATTTTCCCCAACTTCAGATCACCAATTCACTAGGTGGGCTGCTTCAGACCTTGTAGATATGGCTGTCCATGTAAAGCCATGTTTTCAGAGTGGGTCTTTTGAACGGACATCAGGAAAAACGTAACCAAAATGCCTCCACTGCTTGAAAACATTAAGACATAAGCTCCCCACATTTTCATTTCCTATTGTGATGCTTTCCCTGATTTTCACTAGAAACAAACTCTTACAGGAAGCTCCCATCTCTGGAGCACTGTTCTCTGTGTACTGGGGACAAACCTGATCATCTCTGATCTCAGGAATCTATGTGCAATCTATGTGCACTGCTGTCCCTATTCTGTTTGCAAGAGCTAAACAACATCACCAAGCTGTGTTCTGGACACTAGGTTGGGTTTCTTGTCAGTAATATTTGACAGTTTACCAAGTACTTTCATGTCACGTTGCAGTTCTTTCACCTTGTGAATTTATGGTTACTGTTTCCGCCAGTTGACACATAATACCATTGATATTCACAGAAGTTATATGACCTGGCTAAGTTCTATCACTCTTGGATCCTACACTACACCTAATACTTATCCAATGTTACAAGGAAAGAAAAATGAAAGCTCCTGACATAAATGTCTTTGCATTTCTTTATACCCACCTTTAACTGATGGTATTAGGGTTTCAACTCATGTCTTTGCTCTCACTGGGCAGATGCTTTACCTCTAACCCCTTTTGCTTTAGCTATTTTATTTCTTCTTTGGATATTTAATATTAGCATCCATTGGTATAAGGGCATTGCATTTTGGCATGTTCATAAATGCATCCAGTGTATGTTGCTTAGACTCATGTCTTTCACTACTCTCCCTCATCTCTGTTCCTTCCTTCCCAAACCAATTTCAGCAAACTTTACTGTTCTATTTTTACAGTATACATACGGCATTTGGACCCTGTTCACCCCCCTGTATACCCTCCATTCTCCATCCCTCTTCCATTCGTATCTACAGCCCAGGAAGGACTTTCCTTTTCAGTTTCCTAATAGTCATTTTTGTTAAGGCCATCTTAATTGCTCAAAGGGGTTTCACCATTGTATTCGGTTCATACATGTATCAGCTTTAGGTATTTTGCATATATTAAGTTTCCGGCTGCTGCTTGGGTCTAGCCACAGACTGTAATCCTCCTATCTATATACCTACCATGTATCTGAGTTGGCACAGGCACACTTCCATGCCTCCTTTCTTGGTTGACGTGAGGCCTCACTAACTTTGGACAGGGTGGCTTTGTGCCATGGTGCCCCTACTTTCTCCCTCCTATGCACCCAAGATGACCCTCAAGAACCTCCTTATCCTGTAAATATGTCTTTTTTAAAAGCTGTTGCTTGTCTCAAAGAGAAATTCTACTCTCTGTGTCATAAAGCCCTTTTTTTTTGTCTTTGAGTGGTATTTTTTGTCTCCATGATTCACATTTCAGCTCTATGCAGATTACTCAAATCTCTGTCTCTGAAGTTCAGGTGGTGTTTTGGATCACTTAAGAAGCATCTCTTCTTGATCATATCACTCTCCAGATACCTTACTCTCTAGATGTCACATCCCTCGCTAGACATCCAGGCAGGTAGGGGCAGCTCTCTAGCAACTGTGAGGCCCTGTGTTCAGTGCCTCTAAGTGAAAAACGTTACAGAAGAGCATCTATTTTTTAAAATCCTGATATTTGATCATTCTAAAATAAGATAATAAGAACTGATCCTCTTCTATTAATAAATGCTTATGGCTCACAGAGTACACCAGAGGAAACCTCTGAAAATTGAAATAATGAGCTTGCAAACGTGGGGAGGGAAAGCTGGCCTGAATTATTGGAATCAGAATCTGTTGAAAGCAATGCAGTATGATTAGCTTCAATACTACGATCAGTCAGGAATCAATGAAGTCTGTCTCAGGAAGCATCTACTTAATGACGCAGATCCTTGCTTTATAGGTAAATCTTAGTGCCTAAACAGCATGGTATACTGGAATCACAAGGATAACACATTCTGTATATACAAGTTACAAATGTTCTCTTGAATTCAATCTTGCAGACTGTTGAAAGGTGAGTTTTTACTTAATTTAGATCAAATTGTCAAAATCGGAGTATTAGCAGTGCCTGAATTAATCAGGCTTTACTACATTCAGGGAGACAAGCCCTTTGAAAAGGAAAGAATTTAGTCTAAAGTCCCAAGGAAGACTTTTAAAAATAAAAAAAAAATGGAGAGAACAGTAAATATGCTCTTTCAAATATACTAGAGATTATTTATTCATCAAGTTGATATAAGAAAATCTCCCTTCAAAGCCTTGGGTTTCATTTGTAAATTCCTCAAGGACATGGGTCACAGTCTCTCCCTGCCCTGAGAGATTTCTACACCTCAACAGTGGCATGTGGGCTGTGTGTTCTGGGAATCACTGTCATCAGACCAGATGATGAGAAGCAGTGCTGTGAGGTTTCAGATACATCATCTCTTCTGCTTCTTTGTCAGTAGCTGCATGAGAGCATTATGAGGAGGGTACTCACTGATTCCGGGTGCAGGCTGAAAGTAATTGGCTGGCCCCCATGCTGGAAAAATAAGAAAAAGGGAATTCATATGTTATCTTCACATTTAAAGGTATTTATAGAACCTTTGGTGCAGAGATGTCTCAAAACCTCTAAAACTTGGTATAAAACAACAACAACAACCCACAGCTGTATGGAGGTGGGAATGGGGAGTTAGTCAGCCCTTGTGTTCCTGAGCCTGATCATAGGGATGACAGCTTTGTGCCTATGGTCTAAACAGCAGGAGGTGGGAGCAGGGGAAGATGGGAGTGGGTGAGCTAGAAGAGGGTCATTATGTAAACATTTCTTTGGATTTATAGCAGAGCCAAGGCAGGTCAGCCCTTGAAACTATTAGCTTCAACAACAACAAACAAACTGAGCTGTGGCTCAAATGGTAAAGCCAGACTTGAGTATAAAACCTAAAGGATAGGGCCCACGCTGTGAGTTCAAGCCCCAGTAACAGCACATACAAAATACAAAGATTGACATTTAGGCAAATCAAGTCATGTGGTTTAAGAATTGATGAATTTATTAAGTCTCTGTCCTCTGTCCTACTCCACTTAAATAACCTACTGTCCATATGTCTCATTTATAATATTGCTTTCCTAACCCTATTTGAGCTCCAAATCCTTTTAACTCATATTTTCAACCAATCTTATGACAAATTACAAATGTATTAAAATATACTAGGTATACTTCCATTGGTGAGAAGTTCTATTATTTTTAGCATGATTTAAAAAATATATATCCAAGAACATTTTTGAATAGAACTGATAAGAATTGCCTAGTATAACCATTCTTTGATTTGTTGTGTTTCTGGGTCTCTATTAAGAAAATTTCGGCCTGTGCCAAGGAGACCTAGGGTTTCTCCTATTCCATCCTGTAATGTTTTCAGGGTGTCTGCTTTGACTCCAAGTTCTTTGATCCATTTGGAGTTGATTCTGGTACAGGGTGATATATAAGGATCTAGCTTTAGTTTTCTACAAGTAGTTAACCAATTTTGCCAGCACCATTTACTGAAGAGACTGTCTTTCTTCCATTCTATTCTTTTAGCTCCCTTATTGAAGATTAGATGGCTATAGGTCTGTGGGTTCATTTCTGGGTTTTCAGTTCTATTCCATTGGTCCTGAGGTCTGTTCTTGTGCCAGTACCAAGCTGTTTTGATTACTATGGCTTTGTAGTAGAGTTTGAAATTTGGTATTGCATGAAATTGCAGAACTTCTGCATGGCAAAGGATATAGCTAGCAAAATCAATAGAAAGCCCAAGGATTGGGAGATCTTCACTAGCCACACAACAGACAAGGGTCTCATATCTAATTTATACCTGGAACTCAAAACATTAAATCCCCCAACAACAAATCCTCAAAGAAACAACTGCCTAATAAATAATGGGCTAAAGACTTAAAGAGAAACTTCTCTTAAGAGGAAAGAAGAATGGCCAATAGACACATGAAGAAATACTCAACCTCCCTAGCTATAAAAGAAATGCAAATCAAAAGAACATTGAGATACCACCTCATCCCAGTTAGAATGGCTATAATCAAGAACTCTAATAACAACAGATGCTGGAGGGGATGTGGACAAAAGGGAACCTTACTGCATTGTTGGTGGGACTGTAAACTTGTTCAACCACTTTGGAAAGTAGTATGGAGGTTCCTCAAAAGACTCTACATAGAGCTCCCCTATGACCCAGCAATCCCACTTTTGGGCATTTACTCAAATGATTACAAACAAGACCACACTAAAGCTACCAGCACAACTATGTTTATGGCAGTATTATTTACCATAGCTAAGATATGGAACCAACCTAGATGCCCCTCAGTAGATGAATGGATCAAAAAAATGTGGTATATATACACAATGGAATTCTATGCCTCCATCAGAAAGAATGCCATTGCCCCATTTGTTAGGAAATTGAAGACTTGGAAAAAATTATATTAAGTGAAGTAAGCCAGGCCCAAAGAAATATAGGTCCCATGGTTTCCCTTATTTGCAAAAACTAGTGTATGTCTGAGACAAACAGAAACTGTCAGACAAGTTGATGTTAGGCGAAATGAACCCCAAGATAAGGATTCAAATGTTTTTTTCCTTTCTTGAGATTGTTTCCAACATATTTATAAGATGATTTCTTTGTTGCTTTGTATTACCTCCCCCAGGGGATAAACCCTGCTTTCACTCTATTTGATGTTGATATAATTTGTGGAGGGGAAGGGAGAAAAACAAACTGTTTAAATAGGGATACAGGTAGACTCATTATAACAATGAGATGTACAAGGCATTATGTTGAAAAATGAACTTTACAACTTTGGCGGAGTGGGGGCTGAGGGTGGTGGTGGTAGGGGGGTGTAGGGTTGGGGGGGGTGGAGAGTGGAAAGGATGGGAAGGGGAAACAAAGGAGGAGGCAATAATGCTTGATAAGAAATGTACTCACTATCTTGCCCATGTAATTTTAACCCCTCTGTATAGTATTTTCACATTAATAATAATAATAATAAAAACTAGAACTAGGAGAGTTGAGAGGATGGGTCAGATTGGGACAGATAGGAGAAAATGATTTAAGGGCTGACATTGATCAAGATGCATTGTACTCACAAACTGACATGCTGACTTAAAGCCACTTTGTACAATTACTTGAGGATAATAAAAATAAAAATACATAAAAATATATTTAAAAGAAAAGAATTGCCTAGTATAAGGTATCAGCAGCTCTCCTTGATTTAGGAATTTCTGAATTTTGGATGAGGGTATTTATAAGTCATTTATAAAGCTCATCAATAAGTTACAAGTCCTTTAGTACAATTGATCTCCACAGGTTGGAACTTGATACATAATCCACGGCTCCAACCCACTTTAATGTAATTGCAACTCTCTGTTTATGCGTTGACTCATGTAACAGCAGCGTGATTAAGGTCACGCTTTCATGGTTTAGTGATAAGAATATTGTTTAGGTGAGAGCCCAGAATCTTCCTCCATACAAAATTGATTTTATCCAGCTTATTTTCAGTGTTTATTTCATCTCTCACTTAATCATGAGAGGAAATTAAATTGGCACAGAAAAAATAATAGACATTGAGAATGTCAAATGCCTCTGTTTCTTTATCTGTTATGATAGCCTGGTAAGTTGCTTATTGACCGTATGATGGATTGTTCTCATTAGGTATTGCTTTTAAGCTATCTGGCTTACGATGATCAAGACATTTCCTCAAAGAATGATGACATGACAGATGTTTTCCTCTATCTCTATAATGGCTCAATCATAAAAGCCAGGCAAAGTCAAGTATGAACTTCTTAAGTGTGTCTGAAAACTTGACATTGAGACATAATAAGGAGAGCAACTCAGGTATTGGATACCTTTCCTTGGTCTTGCTGATTGAAGTATAGTATTTATTGTATCACTCTTGTACTGTGCAGCAAACCTGGGCTCAAAAGGGATCCAGTATCCAGCATGCATCTGTATTGAGTTAAATTATATTTCTGAGAGACAGTTCTTAAAAGCTCTGTTCAAACAAAATGAAAAGTTTTGTGAATTGTTTTCCAAGAAAAAGTGTTCTGCTCTACTTCCTAATAATATTAATGGAGTGTACACCTCTTCAAAAGCTTTCTCCATACTGTATCTTCTAAGTCACTGTAATTTTTATTTCTATTATAGGATAATTAGTACCTAAGAGGATGGCCTCACTTTGTACCTACAGATTGGTTTACTGGCTACCCGATCATCCATTTAAAAGCTGTGAAAGCTTTTCTATGATCGACCTCATGTCCCATATGTTTGGTTCTTACATTGTGTTTACAAGATTAAATAGGAAATCAAGACCTATTTAGTGGCATAGATGATCTACTGAAAAATCGCCCTATTTTAATAGGAGTTATTTTACTTTCTGTGTCAAAGCACATTCATCTGTGGAAACTTGTTGTAAATCCTGGAAATGACTAGGTTGAGATCTGATGGAAAAATCAATTCTCTTCTTTTACATTTTTATTAACATCAATTAGTTGTATAAGAGAGTTTCATTGTTGCATATCTGTATATACTTATAATATGCCTTGATTACACTCACCCCAAACTCTCTCATCTCCCCTTCCCATCAGTATCAACAAGCTTCATTGTTCCATTTTCACACATGTATCTATTTACCCTCCACATTAACCCTCCTTCATTCTCTTTATTTATTTTCCCCTTTTCATTAATTCCCAAACCCTGGACAGGATTGTTTTATAGCTCTGTCCTTCATCTTTTAAGTGTATGGTAACTGTCCAAAGAGGACTCATAGTTGGTATTTCACGTGTGTATGTGAAGTTCTTTAATCAGGTTAAATGCTTGCTTGCTCTTACTTTCCCCAGCCTCCCTTCTCTCTATTATCCAACATCTTTCAATGGGTCTTACTATTCTATCTTTATTCATGGATGTAATGTAATTCAATATTGTTCATTCTCTAACATTCTCTTTAAAAAGTAGCATTTCACTAGTCTTTATCTTGAGGGTTAGAATATGTAGCCCAAATAGTACAAGAAACTGGGTGGAGCTTATACTCTATTGGGAGAAAATAGATATGATATATATATATATATATATATATATATATATGTATATAAACCTACATACATGCATTCACACACACATACAAGTGTATAATTTGTTGACAGTAGGATTTGAACTCCAGGCCTCATGCTTGCTAAAAGAAAAACACTCTACCATGTTCCCAACCCTTTTTAATCTTTCGTTTGTTTATAGGATACATTGTTAGGCTTTTGCTCTGGGTGGTCATGATCCTCCAAACTCTTCCTCTCTAGTCACTAGGAATATATGAACCATAATCCTCACCTTCTTTTAGTATCCCTAACATTTATTTACTGGGCTAACATCCAACTAGAAGACCTCTATCTGCTTTCCAGGTAGCTGTATTATAGGGGTGAGCCACTGTGCCTGGCATATGTAATTTATTGAAAGAATTCAAAGAAATTCGTTTACACAATAAATTGGTAAAGTTGTTTGCTTTCATCCTTCCTTAATAAAAAATATAAAG